TTTTTGGAAATTCCATTTTTTTTAAAACTTATTTATTGAAATGAGATCGATAGGCGAATGATACCTTAACGATAATACAATGATTTTTTGCAATAGAATGGTTTTTCATTTATTTTTCATTCATACTAGAATTTTACAATACGATACCGTAATCACTCCAATAATAATTACCGTATATAATTACAGTTTGACTACGATTTGATCAAAATAATATGACAGTGAAATTCTAATCTGATATCATTCTAATTTTCGGTAATATTCGCTTTCTCGAAAAATTTCAAACCAATAATATTCATATGAAATGTGCGAATAAAATTGACGTGAGCATTTTTTTCATTCAGAAAACCACAATCTCCCACAACGTGTCTTCGCTTTGGAAGGCTTAAAGGAGTTGAAGGATTCAATGAATGAGCTGAAAGTGAAATTGTTGTGTGTGAAAGAGAAAAATTACACGGAAACACTGAAAGAGGTGCATAAATTGACGGATAATGCGTGTGAAGTGGTCATCGATGCGGCCTATTTGAGAAACGATCGAGATTTCGAGGACTCTCTAAATGATCAATTGATCAAATCGTGCAGAAGACTGACCCGTGTTGAAGCGAATGTTTCTGTTCCAGTTAATGTTCGTAGTTATTTGTTCATTCGTTTTTTCAATTTTACTATTGCATATTTGTTTTTCTAAATTTTCCCACAAACGAATGACCAAAGATATTCCATATTCGGGATTTGAAATTGGAGGAATTTATATCAGTCACCAGAAATTTTCATTTGCATGAATTTATGACCGATTCAACTGATCAAAAATGTAGGACTCAGGTTTCTTCTTGTAAAAAAAGAACAACAGAAAGAAGTCATCCATATTCCATTTTGAACTGTTCGCTCATAATTTTATTGCTGCGATCGTTTCATTCACTCGACTAATTCTTCAGGTGTCGAGTAATCAACAGGAATTTGGCGCAAGAACATTGCGACCAAAAGTATGGCAGCATGTGAAGGCAATGATGAAAGAGAAATGGGAAGACGTACCAACAGAGCCATGCAAAGACTGGAAGAAGTCTGTTTTATGCTATAGAAATAGTTTTTCAGATGAAGAATAGTTTGATGTGAAGAGTCCGTTCGGGTTGACCAGAAACTGTAAGAATCACGATTGGTTCCTACAAAAAAACTGAATCAAAAATTAAGAAATTCAGAGCACAGTTCATGAATTCATTCGAATGAAATTCGATAAAATTAAGCATGGAAAAATGTTACCGAAGAAAAAATACTTCCCAAAAATGGATGGAAATTTCACACAAATCGACGCAACGACGAGCGCTTGATTTCCATGTTGTGAAATTGTTTTTTTAAGGCTCGTAAAAGCTGACGATTTGAAAGAAATGGATTTGGAAGCTGAACTAAAGAAAGCCGAAAGCGAGTGTAAATCGGATAGCGGTCTAACGGGTGGTGAGAAGGCAGCAAAGAAAATGCTGGACTTCTTCATTACAAATCGACTGGTCAATTATCATCCTGGAAGGTTGTTGTTTTCATTTACTGAATTGTTGTTCATCATTTTAAATCATTGTTCGAATCTTTCAACTTATATTTGTTTTCGAATTTTTCCCATTTTAAAAACAATTCTCATTCGTTTCCGTGAGTATTTTTTCTTTTGTTTTCAAACAACCCCACAGATTTATATGAAATCACTTTTATGGATTGATTAATAAATTTTGCAAAGTAAGAATCAAATTCTCGTTTCCGTATTGCTCATATACCCTGGAAGTGAGTCTTTCTGGTTTTTTAGTGTGTTCATACTTGGCACATGTCGTCGTCTGGAAACATTTCAGCAAATTTCGTTGAGTGTAGAAGGTTATCGAATTTATGCAGTTGACGTAGGAATTTTTATACGGCATTTCAGGAATGTTCCCGGTAGCAAATATCAGAGTGTATTGTCGCCATATCTGCATTTTGGGATGCTCAGCACGATAGAAACTATTAAACGTGCTAAAGAAGGCAAAGCAGCAAAACACCCGATAGGTTTGTGACACAAACACATAAATATTTCCATTATAATGAATTTAATTACAAATGTAAATTCTTCATGTTTACAATGGCTGGTGCATAAAATTATCTGATTCATTGTCAATAATCAATTTTATTTTAGATTCCTTCATTGAGGAATTACTGGTGAGACGTGATCTGGCGCATAATTTCGTGTATTACGCTCGTAAGAACTATGATTCGGTAATTTTCGTGATGTTCATTGATTTTATTTGCTGTTTTTTTTCTTCCCAAAGTACTGTCAGTATTCATATTGGGAAGGGCGCCGATCCAAAGTAAAACTGGCAATATGAAATACAACCGGCCATATGAAATGCGCTCTGAAGAAATTCTCTCTCTGAAGGATTGCGTAGAATAATTTTTGCGCTATTGTAAACTCCTCGTGGAAAATTGGAAAGAATAGAAAACAATTTTGGTTTTTACGTTCTAGAATTTTGGAATAAGCAGTCATTAGTATCAAAATAGTGGCGTATTGAAGTAGTTGTTTCATGAAGTGTTTGAATGTTTGAATAACTGATGATATTTCAGTTGGATAGCTTGCCGGATTGGGCGAAGAAAACGTTGAAAGAGCATAAGAATGATAAACGTGAATATGTGTACAGTTATGAGGAACTGGAGAATGCGAAAACTCACGATGTGTATTGGAATGCAGCACAATTGGAGATGATTCATACCAATAAGGTTATCCTTATAGTTAATATTCCAATTTATATTTACTTTATGATTGTATTAATCTATTCTAATTGTAACGGTTATGGATAATTCCTCCGAACTAGTGGTTTGCATTAGAAGGGGGAGTGTTAGTAATCACTGGAATTTTGAGAGCTCATCATCTTTTGTGGAGCGAACCATGCTCTGCTGTAAAGCGGTGGAAATGATCCGTGCCCACTGATAGTGAGAAAAACTTCACAGGCTTTAAGATCGGTAACTATTAGCCGTCAACATAGGAAAGGCTGCCCTAATATCATTGACTTTGTGATTAATTAGAAACGTTTATTATCACTCAAGTTCAGATTATTCAGTCACAAGAAAATATTTGATTTGTTGTGATGAGAATAAAGTGTTCATTTCCTACGGTATCATTACAGTGATAGCGATAACATTGACTATTATTTTCATTGTCAGATGCATGGTTATATGCGGATGTATTGGGGTAAGAAAGTTATCGAATGGACGCCAGACTATGAGACAGCGTATAAATTCTTGATCGAACAAAACGATAAATATGAATTGGATGGACGTGATCCGAATGGTTACACGGGTGTGATGTGGAATTTTGGATTGCATGATCGAGCGCATGCGGTAATTTATGTTTTCCTTGCTTTGATTTTCACATTTTAAGAAGCATATTCAAGTAGACAAGATGAAAACCGAAATTATAATTTCGCTCATATTTAATGTCTTATTACATTTATGCCATTGTGTTCCATTTCCGTTTAAAAATGTAA